GAAAAGATGATTCTGTAGATACTCAAACTGAGTGTCCCATAACCAGTAGTGTTCCCAGACATATACAGAAAACCCACCCTCTGGAAAACATCATAGGATCACCCAATGAAGGAGTGAAGACACGGAAGAAGAAGATTGATTTTCTAGAGATGACAAAGGCATACTATACATCATCCCTGGAGCCTAAAAACATCAAAGAGGCACTGACAGAAGAAGCATGGATAAACGCCATGCATGAGGAGCTAGAGCAGTTTGAAAGGAATAAGGTATGGGAACTGGTTCCAAAACCAGAGAACACTAACGTCATTGGTACGAAGTGGATATACCGAAACAAAACAGATGAAGCAGGAAATGTCATCAGAAACAAGGCTCGGCTAGTTGCTCAAGGATACACACAAATGGAAGGGGTTGACTTTGAGGAAACCTTTGCTCCAGTAGCTCGGCTTGAGTCAATACGCATGCTCATTAGCATGGCGTGCATATTAGACATGAAACTGTACCAAATGGACGTCAAGACTGCATTTCTAAATGGATATCTAAAGGAAGAAGTGTATGTAGCACAACCAAAAGGAATCGAAGATTCCAGACATCCTGACAATGTATACAAGCTACACAAGGCACTGTATTGGTTGAAGCAGGCACCTAGAGCATGGTATGAACGTCTAACTTCCTACCTAATTAAGGAAGGATATAAAAGAGGGGGAGCAGATAACACCATGTTCTATATATGGCACAAATCTGACCTACTGGTTGCACAAATCTATGTGGATGACATTGTGTTTGGATCCACCTCCAAAACAAAGGCCGATGAATTTGTCAGAGTAATGGAGAAAGAGTTTGAGATGAGCATGATTGGTGAATTAACTTTTTTCCTGGGGTTACAGATAAAACAAACAGATGAAGGAATATTTATATCTCAGACCAAGTATGCACAGAATATGTTGAAAAAGTTTGAGATGAGTGACAGTAAGAGCGCTAGAACACCGTGTCCAACACACGAGAAAATCAGCAGGGATGACAATGGCAAGGAGATTGATGCTACACGCTACAGAGGCATCATAGGAAGTCTACTATATCTAACTGCAAGTAGACCAGATCTGTGTTACAGTGTTGGAGTGTGCGCTAGATATCAGGCAAATCCTAAGGAGTCACATCTCAAAGCCGTCAAAAGAATATTAAAATATGTCAAAGGCACCCAAAACATGGGGTTATGGTATTCAAAAGGAGTAATGGCAGAGCTTATGGCCTACAGTGATGTAGACTGGGCAGGTAATATAGATGACAGGAAAAGCACATCAGGAGGTTGCTTCTTTCTAGGAGGAAATCTTGTAGCATGGTTGAGCAAGAAACAGAACTGTGTGTCACTTTCTACAGCAGAAGCAGAATATATAGCGGCAGGTAGTTGCTGTGCACAACTATTATGGATGAAGACCATACTTAGTGACTACGGTATAGACCATGACACCATTCCGCTATACTGTGACAATACTAGTGCAATCAGCATATCCAAAAACCCAGTGTTGCACTCCCGAACCAAACACATTGACATCAAGCATAACTTTATACGGGAACTTGTTGAGAAAAAAATTGTGAGCTTGGAACACGTGTCCACAGAGGAGCAACTTGCTGATATATTTACCAAGGCACTTGATGGTGACAGGTTTGAAACACTTAGATCAAAGTTGGGTCTATGTGCTCCCTACTGATGATGTGATTTGAAAAAAGGAGACAATTTCATTGGCCAGAAGAAGACACGTGGAGTTATTAAAAGAACAAATAAAACGCATGCAGCACACCTATCTGCATATGGCGCTGTGTCACCAAAAACGAAGAGTCCAAAAACAAAAAAAATAAACTTCAAAAGGACTCACAAAACCCAATAGCCTTTTCCTCTTCGTCATCCTCACTACAATCTCAAACCTAATCCCAGAAAATATCAGAAATCTCTCAAAGGAACATCAAGAGATGGTGCGCACCAAGATCGCCGTTCCTAAGCAATGGAAGAGCGCACATGCAACAAAGAAAAGAGCAAGTCTAATTCAGAAGTTTGCTCAAGCTAGAGCAAATCTATGGGCGAAAATCTCACAAGAAGATGAAGGTCCACCTACTGTGAATCCAGAGATTGAGACTGCCATGGAACATGAAGAAGTTCAAAGGGCACCGGAAGTTGAAGAACCGTTAGATGAAGAGCAAGATGAGGCACCACTCAACCCAGATCTCCCCACCATCATGTTGCTAGAATACAAATCACCAATACCCCCTAAGGAGCAACACCAAAATACAGAAGTAGATGAAGAATTCCAAATTCTACTGGATGAAGAACCACTGGTGGCAGTCTCTGAAGTACCTTTCAAGAACGTTTAAAACCAAGGCAGTACCCCTCGCAGCTCCAAGAAAAAGGCAAAACAGACTGGTCAACACCCTGTTCGTTGGTCAAAACGGAAAACCAGATCTGAGGCAGTCATGAAAGAAGAGTCACCTCCATCAACCAAGAAGACCAGAACAAGCTCTCGAAGTCCATCCAAAATCTCAAAGTCAAAAAGGGGTAAAGATCTGAATCATCACTCAGGGAAGTCCTCAACTCATACTTTTGCCAATACTGCTGCTAAATCTTATTTGCCTGCAATAATGAAGAAGCACATTTTGCACCAATGAAATATTGACCTGGAAGATTTTGCTTTGAAAACCACACTCATCCCCCTGTTAGATGCTAGGAACTTGTTGAAATCTGTCTCTATTCCTGGTTCTTATGTCAAACAAGTCATCCATGAGTTCTACTGCAATTTGAGTAAAGATTTTGTGAATCCTGCTGCTGAGTCATTTGAAAAAGTGTTTGTCTGAGGAAAATTATACACTTTTTCATCTACTGCTGTTAACAAGTTTTTGGGATTAGATGATGTTCAGGATGCATTGGTAAGTGAGGTCATAATGTGGAAGGAACTCACTCACGGAACCCAGAAAAGCCAACACCCCTCCAACAAAGTTCCCTCATCAATCCTGAATAGCTCCTACTCTATTTTGCTCAGGGTTGCTGCATGTCACTGGCTAGCCACCTCCCATACCAACACAGTGACAAAAGCCATGGGCATGTTTTTGTACAAGATCAAAAACAATGTTCCTGTCAACCTAGGAAAGCTGATAGTTGCTCAAATAGCTGAGTTTGGAAAACACAACTATAAGCACAATGATAATGGTCTGCCCTTTCCTGTGCTAATCTTTCAGATGCTTGTCTCACAGGGTTTTAACAAGAAGGATGGTGAACAAGAGGAGCCCTTGGAGCCACTACTGTAGGTTGACAACAGACACTTTGATGGAAAGCACTTCAATGACATGAAGGTAGCTGAGCAGGCAACACATGGAGTGCCAGGTATACTCAAGTATCTGCATCACAAACTGCAGCAAAACAAGGAAGCACTTCTCCTGGTGGACCAACAGAGGAAAGTTCTTAAAGAAGAGCGGCAAAGTCTCATATGGTTGCAAGAGAATGCTGCACAGAGTGCTCAAGCAGAAGGTTCATCATTTCAGGGGGAGAGTTCAGAGGAAGAAGACATTGCTACAGATTCCTCAGCCTGAGGGGATATCTTTTCTATAAACTCTTTACAAGCTTAAATTTGACATTCATTTTGGTTGGGTTGTTCTGCCCTGTTTCTGGTTTGAAGACATATCGCACTGCTGGTTCTTTTGCTTTGACTGTTATTTTTGAATGGTTCAAACTTGGCTTTGTTTCTCTACGTATGTGCTCGCTCCTGGTCATCTACAAGTTTCATTCCGCTATTCTTGTGCATCTCTTTGACATGGTGTAGGTACATCCTTCAGCTTGAGAGATAGGTATTCCAGGGAGGTTTTTGGTAACCCTCTTGCTCCAGTGTTGAATATTACTCTTCTCTCTTCCCATTTACATTTTTAATAAACTTTGGCTCATTTTTGAACAAAAAAGGGGGAGAAGAGGTTCAACAGGCCAGAGAGTCTAGTGTATTTGTTTTTGTCCAAAAGGATGGCCAAAGGGGGAGATTGTTAGTTATTCGGGTTAGTTACTAAGGGGGAGAACTAGTGTTTATTTTGTTTATTCCTTGTTGGCCTTATCCTTGTGACAAAAACAAATAAGTAGGAATGTTTGTTCGTACTTTTGAGCTGCTTGGATGTAGTGTCCTGCCGTGTCATGCTTGGGTTTGAGTTTATCCCTACGAGCTGGAGAAGAAGACTTCCTCTTGAAAAGGGATTCCTGCGAAGCTGTCCAGAGTTCCATGCAGACCGGGAATAAGATTTGCTGGAGAGTTCAAGTATGATAATGACTAGGGTTTTTTCACGTGCGCACACATATATATATACCCACATGATTTCAAAGAGAGCTGTAGTGAGATAAATTGATATACGTCCAGCGAGAGTTTGTGAGAGCCATAAACCCTAGCTACAAAAAGAGATCAGAAGGGAATCATATTTGAATCCTTCTGAAATACGGTACTGTTGAAAGCACAAGAAGTTCGTGGGCTGTTCTCAGATCATATTGCAGATCTATGATTGGTTTTGATGAAAATCACATCGGCTGGTGAACTAAGTAGGGCTGGAGAAAGGGCTGTCATCTCGTCCAAATAACATGAGTTATCAAGGTTGTTGTAATATGCCATTGGGAGAAACACTAACAGAGTTATGTGTTTAAGTCATGTGTAGTTGGTTAGTTCAATCCACTGATTGGTACCTACGGTGGTTGAAGTTGTAACCTTTGCAGTGATTTAGTGGACGGGCTATTACACGGATGTGGGCCCCGCAGAGTAGGAGAATTGCTCCGAACTGCGTAAACAATTCTTGTGTCTGTTTTACTGCTTTTTATTTCTCTTGCTGCGTGTGATTGTGTGTGACAGAGAGAGTGTTTCAGCACTTTGTTTATCACAGCAATCTGAGCGTATGTGTGTGGTTGACTAGATTTGTTCACAAAGAGTACTTCCTCCTGAGATTAGAATCACTATAACAATTTCATTTGGTATCAGAGCTTTTAAGCTTAAGGTACTAGCTTGATCCATCATGGGAGACATGGAGGAAGGTGCAAATGTCCAACGACCACCGCTGTTACGTGGACCAAATTACAATTTTTGGAAGGGGCGCATGAGAGCTTTCTTAAAGTCCCATGGCGGGAAAGTTTGGAGAAGCATAGAAACTAGGTGGACAGAACCCACAGAGACAAACACAGAAGGAGAGAAGGTGGCAAAATCCTTTGAGAAATACTCAAAGGAAGAAGCAACACTGGCGGAATGCAATGATAAGGCACTCAATGCACTATTTGGGGCAGTTGACAGCTCACAGTACCGACTCATTTCAAATTGCACTGAAGCAAAGAAGGCCTGGGATATCCTTGAAACCACACACGAAGGATATGAACGAGTAAAAACTGCTAAACTGCAGATTCTTATGACCAAATATGAGAATCTGCGCATGGGTGATAAAGAAAAAATAGCAGAATTTCATGGGAGAGTAAGAGAACTGGCGAATGAGGCTGAAAACCTGAAAAGGCCCTTCACAGAAGATAGTCTAGTGTTGAAGGTATTGAGAGCTTTACTAGAGAGTTATGCAATGGATGCCAAAGCTATTCGCCAAGCACATGACATAAAGAACATGACGCTTGATCAGCTGATGGGAAATCTTGAGACCATTGAGCTTCAAATGAACGAAGAAATTAACCAGAAGAAGAGTGTCAAACAGATTGTATTTCACAGCCACAATACTGAAGAAGATGATGATGATGAGGATCCATCAGATGGAGATTATCAAGAACAGTTATCCCTCATCACCAAGCAGTTCAAGAAGCAATGGATGCAGAAGAAAGGAAGAACAAATTATCAAGCTGAATCTTCAAAGGGATTTCAATTTAGAAATCAAAGGCCAAAGGAGAGCAGGGCCCCAGCTGATGACTCCAAACGAATAGGACCTCAATGCTTTGAATGTGGGGGATTTGGGCACATACAATCAGAACGTGCAAACAACCTAAAAAAGATACGGCAAGCCTTTGTGTCAACCTGGAGCGATGAAGAAGACGACTCTGAAGAAGTCCTAGGGAACAACAACTGTGCATTTACTACTCAAACACAGAATGAAGAACCAGACGTTCTCACTAACGGACTTGTGATGCTGCAGGAAGAGTTGAATAGCCTTCGTAAAAAGCTTGATGAAACCATGCAGCAACTGGTATTGGTCATACTCTACAAGAGAGCAGCAAAACACCCCTTGATTTGTTTGTAACAAGACCAAAGATTGCTGCTGAAGAATTGAAAGAATACAACAGAGACAAGAAGGAAGCAGTCCAGTCTACTCACATTCATGTAAGGAAACAACCTTTCTCTAATTATTACTGGAATTATATTTGCTTCTATTGCAGGAAAAAGGGACACATTAAAAGACAGTGTCACCAACTGAAATACAAAAGAAGGAAGAAGGGTACGGCCAAAGGGTTCACCAGAACCGTAATGAAGTGGGTACCAAAACACTTGGCCACAAGCGCCAACTCATGTCTTCGAGTCACACCCGATCAATGGTTGCTCGATAGTGGGTGTTCTCATCACATGACTGGAGACGAACAAAACTTATCAAATATTCAAACCATAGAAGGAGGAAACGTACGGTTTGGAGGCGGTGCACATAGATAGATCATTGGGAATGGAACACTGCATGTCTCAGGGCTACCACCTATCAAAAATATATGGTTGGTCCAAGGACTGGAGGTGAATCTGTTAAGCATTAGTCAAATCTGTGACCAAGGACTGGAAGTGGTATTCACTCAACAAAAGTGCCGCATCAAGGACAGAAACAAATTTGTTGTCTTGGAAGGTGACAGAACCACTAACAACTGTTACAAAGTCACTCCAAATATACTTTGCTACACGGCCAGTGAGAGGGATGCAAAATTATGGCACTACAGACTAGGGCATATGAACTACAAGGATCTCAAGACATTGTCAGTATCTGGAGCAGTTCGAGGAATGCCCAAAATCACTCAAGTCAATGAGCAAGGATCTGAAGACATTTTCCGTTTCCAGCCCCCCTTCTTTGAGATGCGACTCTTCTCTTTATATGCATCATGTTTGTCTCATTTTTTTAGGTTTCAATTGGGTTGGGTTGAGATGGGATTTGTATAGCAATTGGATAAAAACTTGCACATGGACTTTAAATCTTCATTTCCATTAAAGCTTGGCCCAATTCGCCATCCCTTGAACTTATCATCTATTTTTTTTCAAGAGTATATCTGAAAATTCATATAAGAGAAACTAATTTCAACACAAAACATAATAAAAACTTTACCCAACTTATGATTTTAGTGTAAAAATATAACAAGTAGCCTAAAGAGCCAAATATTTCATTATACACTTTATTTTAACATAAAATGCACTAAAAATATAATAAAGAACTAAAGTATAACCAAATAAAATGTGACAATTTGTAACGTATCAAATACCCCCACACTTAGTCCTTTGTACGTCCTCGGGCAAAGTAAATACCAAAAATCATAACTCTCTTTTTTTAACATTAGAACTCAAAATAACTTCTCTATCTTATAACAATCTAAAGTGATGTATTTGAACATTAATAAAAAAAATTAATCATATACCAAATAGAATGAACTCTTTAAAAATCAATTTGCTACTCTAAATTTTAAACAATTCTTTCACTTCAAAGCTAAGTAGAAATTACTTTTATTCAATGTCGAAACTTTGAATTAATTAAGGCCATTGAGAATAATTTAAAAGAAATACATAGAGCAGCAAAAAGTGGTTAGAAATCCTAAGGAACCATCAAGTAAGGAAATGCTCAAGAAAATTTATTTTATTTTCTAAAATCTGGAAACTTCGATTTATTGCTTTTATTTAGTATTTAATTTTTTCATTGTTTGAGTTGACCCGTGTAGCGAGTCTCAACCAGGCTACCCCAGGCCCATTCCGAGGACCTAAATAAACGAAGTATTCTGAGGGTTTCAACTCGAGTGCTCAAACAATGTTTTATTCTTTTATTTTCTTTTATTTTACTTTTTTTTACCTAGCCATTTATTGCACTTTTTTTTTCTTTTTTGGATCAATGGCGTCGGCTTTTTTTCTTATATATGTGTATGTATGTATGTATGTATGTATGTATGTATGTATGTATGTATGTATGTATATATATATATATATATATATATATATTAGGGGAAGGATATTTATTAGAAAAGGAAAAAGTACAAAGGGGGATGGGACGGATCCCTACAAGCTGTCCCAAAAAAGAGTGAATACTACACCCAAGAGAGAAAACTATCCAAACTAATACAGAGTATATATATATATATATATATATATATATATATATATATATATATATATATATATATCCAAAAGAGAAGGAGGAGACCACTGTTGTGGAAACTTGCTCCTTTGCCCAGGTTGAAACACACTTGACACAACCTGTCCTAAAAGCTGTCAATGGGTTGGAACACTTACTAGTTAATACAGCTAAAACCTTTGAATCTGAAAACGAGGAACAATCTGCAATACACACAGCTACACATAAGGCAAGTGTTGAAGCTTTGGCAACCACCATTGATAATGGTAGGGATGCTGAGGCTCCTGCGCCAACTGGCAGTGCTGAAGACAAAGGTGTGTTGGCTGAGTTGGAACAAATCCGGGTTAGTGAGGATGCTCCTACTAACAATGACCCTAATTCCAGGATTGAACCAAGCTGTGAGGCACACAAACTGTCCCCTAAGACAGATTTGGAAGGCACACAGTACGAAGAAGAATTCCCGCCCCTCTCTAAAGAGTCTGTAACTGTTACACTGGATGATTCTCCAGCCCAAAATCAAAGTAGTGATGCACACACTCTTTCCCCCGAGAAAGAGATGGATGGCACACTACCCCCTTCAATGAATGGAGATGATGAAAATATTTCTGATCCTACACATATCACAAATATCCCCCCACCTATAACTAACTATGCAGGTCATGACCCAACTACTATTGGACCTATTCTTTAGTCTTTTGAGGTGGATGGTGAACATTATGAAATCAGGTCCTACGTTGAAGAAGCGGAGACAAGTAACCAAAGGGAGGAGCCTGACTTCAAAGATGTCCAGAGCAGACGCAGCAAAAAAGTGGGGAAGAGGGGAACTGCACCAAGGACGATTAAAACTAGAAGCTATGATCCAAATCTTGGAGTTGGAACGATGAGCGAGATCACTAGATATTGGCCTAGCCGCAAATCAACCACAATGGAGAAAATCGTCACTACCAAAAGTTACTCTGGGCCCTTTTGGTACGTTGGACCCGTCGGCCCAATTGGAGCAGATGGGAAAAGACCAAAGAAAATAATGCCCAGAAACCTCGCGTTGGATCAGCACCCGGGTTTTATAATTTGGGAATGACCATCTGTTTTATCTCTCGTTTTCATTTCTCATTCAGTTTTACTTTCATGCATCTCTAGAGGGGCATTGGCCTAGTCCTCCCCTCCCTGTACCTTTCTTTTACCTTTTTGCAATAAAATTTTCGTTTTATTATATATATATATATATATATATATATATATATATATATATATATATATATATATATATATATATATATATATATATATATATATATAACTGCTCCTTATACTTCTAAATAAATTAGGCACATTGATCTTAACTAAATAAAAGGTAAGAGATTAAATTAAAATAAGTTCTAAATAGATTTGATTTAAAAGATATGTTTTAAATTTTGGAGTAGCAACTCATTTTTTAAGAAGCTCAAACATATTTGTTACAATATTAATTTCCATTTAATGCCAAAATACAAACACTTAGAGTGCTAGAAGATTAAAAAGTAATTGTAACACCCGCCTTCCGTGGACCCAACGGACCGGTAGGGTTACATGGACAGTCCGAGAACCATCCGTTACTGAAACATAAATGTTTATTTAATAAGAAAACGGTTGGGTTCTAATTAAAGGAATAAATGCCAGGGAGTTACTCCCAATACGTGTGTAATAAAAGTGCAGAGTAATTGCGGAAGTAATTAAATAAGTTCAGTCCAAATTAAATAACGACAAGGGTGGGTTCATGCCCAATTGATTAACGAAGTTACTGAAAGTAATTAAGAGTTCGTCCGTGCGCCGCCCGTCTCCCCATCGTCACCGCTCTCCAGGGTTGGCACCTGCTCCGTCATGTCTACCTGCGTGTAGCAAAAACAACTACACGCTCAGCAAAAGCTGAGGAGTGAATCTAACAAAAGAACATGAAGTGATAACCCATGTGGCTATACCCATATCAATACCTGTACTTAACGTACGGGACACCACACGTTACTAACTGTTTAGTTTTCACCTGTTAAAGCTGTTTCGAATAACAAGGAANGAAACATAAATGTTTATTTAATAAGAAAACGGTTGGGTTCTAATTAAAGGAATAAATGCCAGGGAGTTACTCCCAATACGTGTGTAATAAAAGTGCAGAGTAATTGCGGAAGTAATTAAATAAGTTCAGTCCAAATTAAATAACGACAAGGGTGGGTTCATGCCCAATTGATTAACGAAGTTACTGAAAGTAATTAAGAGTTCGTCCGTGCGCCGCCCGTCTCCCCATCGTCACCGCTCTCCAGGGTTGGCACCTGCTCCGTCATGTCTACCTGCGTGTAGCAAAAACAACTACACGCTCAGCAAAAGCTGAGGAGTGAATCTAACAAAAGAACATGAAGTGATAACCCATGTGGCTATACCCATATCAATACCTATACTTAACGTACGGGACACCACACATTACTAACTGTTTAGTTTTCACCTATTAAAGTTGTTTCGAATAACAAGGAACATAATGATGATGATATGACTTGGTGCATGACTTAAACTATCAGGGACACCCCTGGCTTAGTCTCACTCGACAGGATCACCCCTGCACTCCGGCCATCGTTCCCGAACGGTAACGAGCCGGGCACGACGAAAACATCACGAGTGGACTAGCGGAACCGGGTAGTAGCCGTAACCTGACTACTATGTACGTACACAAGCCCAACATGATGAAAACCCGCTGGTCCCCAAACGTTCCTGGACGGGCCCACTGTAGTAGGCGCTTGAAGTCCTCCCTACAGCGGTATGCATATGATGGAAACCTAGAACATCCGTCTAGAAACGAACATGATGGAATGATTGCATTGATTAAAGAAAAATAGTTAAATTCAATTCTTACATATGTGCTTGATTATGATTTGTTCAACATGATGGCCCTGGGTTCAGAACTGGCTGATAATCGATTATCTGCTGTTGATAATCGATTATCATGCTGTGCAGCTTCTGTCCCCAAAGTCCTGCAGACTGTGATAGTCGATTGTCACCCTATGACAATCGATTGTCAAGTTGGTTTATCAGGAAAGTCCTAAGTTCAGAGAGACCTGATAATCGACTATTGCTCTGAGATAATCGATTGTCAAGTGAACCAGCTCTGACTCAAGAATCCGCAGGGTCTGATAATCGATTACCACTTATGTGATAATCGATTGTCACACTATGCTGGATCAACTGAGGAGTTCAGCGTGACCTGATAGTCGATTATTCCGTTCTGTAAATCGATTACCAAGGCACGCTGATTCCCATTTTGACTGTTTGGTTATCATCAATACGTTGGGAGTTTTCTTTGAACGAACGTTTATGATTACATGTTAAGTATTCCATGAATATACGGAGTTTCAAAATGCTTATATTAACGAGTTCGTAACTTGATAACACGGACTCTCGTATGTTTGATTGTTAACCTACGAACATGCATAGATTCTACGTAGGTTGCGTACGATATTCCTATGAATATAAAGACATAGATTATAACTAAATGTTCTAGAATTAGAGGGACAACTACTCACCTCTAAATGGAGGGATTGATGGAACGATATGAACGAATGGTGCTAATGAACGGACAACGGACGAACAAACGAACGGCCTGCTTCACACGTGCACTTCCCTCTCTCCCTCCTCCGCGTCTACTACCAGAATTCCCCTTGGTGCTGCTGCTGCTTTGGCCGAATCAAGAGAAAAGGGGAGAGAGAGTGGTGGTGTGTTGAATATGGGGGTTACAAAGTGAAAAAGGAAAAGGATGGGATGGGGGTTTTAAAATAAGAATAATAATGAAGCAAGTAATGGGGATTTAAGTGAGCATTATTAGAGTGGCGTGTGAATGGGATGGAGGTTACAATATTTACTCTACTCCGTAATGTAAAATCTGACCTGAACGGTACGCGTTTTTCCCCCAAACGGGTCCGAATTGAAATCCGTTTGCGTTTCTGGAATAAGACAGTCAAGACGAATTAAATGATATGATCAAATAATTTTTCTAAGAACTTTTCATTTTCCCAACCCCGGTCCGGAACAGTAATTAATTAATTAAATTAATCAATTCTATTAGACCGGGTTGCAGGGCGTTACAGTAATTATTAAGAATTCTAATAATGTTAAAAATAAAGATAATAGAAATATTATCAAGAACAAGATGATAGAGATATACCTTGATAAGAACACAAATGGAAGATCAAAGTGCAATGGAGAGTGAAAGAGAAAGAATGCAATGAGAGACTAAAGATATGGATGTTCCATTTCTACATATGGAGCCTCTATATATAGGCTTACAAAGGGGAAAATCAAAAGTCTAACTTAGACATGGAGAACATCAAAAGACATTTGTACATAACACTCCCCCTTGGATTTTGGATGTTCACCATTTAGGTAGACTTGAGCTTATGACACTGCCTCGTTAAAACCTTGCCAAGAAAAACCCAATGGGACAAAAACTTGGACGAATGAAAAAGAGTACAGTGCTTATAATGCTCTCCCTGAACATGGCAAAAGATCCTTGAGTTGACGCATTTCAATACCATTGATCATCTTCCTAAATGTCGTAGTTGGCAATGCCTTTGTGAACAAATCCGCTAGGTTATTGCATGACTGTATCTGACGAACCTCAATGTCTCCACTTTTCTGAAGCTTGTGCGGATAGAAGAATTTTGGTGATATGTGCTTCGTCTTGTTGCTTTTGATGTAGCCACTTTTAATTTGTGCAATACAAGCATCATTATCTTCATAGAGTAATGGTGGAGCCTTATTAAAAGATAATCCAGAAGTTTCTCGAATGTGATGAACCATTGACCTTAACCATATGCATTCTCCACTTGCTTTATATAGCGCCATTATCTCCGAGTGATTTGACGAGGTTGCAACTTGTGTTTGCTTTACTGATCTCCATGATATTGCCGCACCACCACAAGTAAAAACATATCCACTTTGCGATTTACCCTTATGTGGGTCAGAAAGATAGCCAGCATCAGCGTAACCAACAACTAGTGATTCTGAACCTTTCGAATAAAACAGGCCCATATCGGTTGTTCCACGAAGATAACGTAATATATGTCTAACACCATTCCAATGTCTTCGTGTTGGTGCTGAGCTATATCTTGCCAACAAATTAACCGAAAAGGCTATATCAGGTCTTGTACAATTTGCAAGATACATTAGCGCCCCTATAACACTTAAATAAGGTACCTCCGGACCTAAAAGTTCTTCATTATCTTCTCGAGGGCGAAAAGGGTCCTTCTTTACATCTAATGATCGAACAACCATGGGACTGCTCAATGGGTGTGCCTTATCCATGTAAAATCATTTTAGGACCTTTTCCGTATATGTTGATTGATGGATAAAAATCCCATTTGATACATGCTCGATCTGCAGGCCGAGACAAAACTTGGTTTTCCCAAGATCTTTCATTTCAAACTCTTTCATTAAATAGTTTGCAGTCTTTATTAACTCTTCTGGTGTTCCAACAAGGTTTAGGTCATCTACATATATTGCTATGATAGCAAATCCAACGTCAGATTTCTTGATGAAAACACATGGACAAATTGGATCATTTATGTAACCTTCTCTAACAAGATATTCACTAAAACGGTTATACCACATTCTACCAGATTGTTTCAATCCGTATAATGATCTCTGTAACTTGATTGAGAATAACTCACGAGCTTTCTGATTGCATGCTTCAGGAATTTTGAACTGAGTACTTTATTCATCATATGTCGGGGTATTTATACACAGGGAGGAGGTAAAGTCTAGGTAAACAAGGAAACCAAATATTCTAAATAATAAGAGTAATATATCTGCCATATATATCATCGTTCATTATACACTAACAA